TATTATATAATCAAACACCAAATAGCTTCAATTGTCGTAGAGGACTCTCTTCTTCTTCTTTTTCATTTTCTTCTTGTTTTCTCACTCATCATAGTTCTCTCTTCTTCTTCTTTTACTTAAATATATTTAAGTTGCACATTCAAACATTTCTCAGTTTTTAAATTTTTCTGGTTTCCATCTCTTCATGATTTCCAAACAAATTAGGGTTCACTCATCATAATTCTCTTAGTTCACTTCTTTTAGTTTCAATATCATCCCTCTCTATTTCTTTTTCCATCACTCGGACTACAAATATATTAATACAACATCACAACTACTCATTATTACATATATATCTCTCATCCAACTTATCATATTTATTTTTCCATAAATAGAAATATATACGCACATATATGCATATTGCAACTATTACCGAGAACATTAATTATGCCCCCACCAAAAAAAAAAAAAAAGAAAAAATATTTATTAGATAAACAACTAATATTTCAATACAACTAAACGTTTAAAATTTTAGCAAATGTAGGGTTTTGTTGTTATAAATATGTTCGTCCTTGTGGAAAGTAACATTTATCATTACAACAACAATAATTTTTAAATTATGTTATTACTAATACAAAGGGTTTTTATAATTAATAATGATTTTTATAAAGATAATAGAAAGGTAGCCATCTATTATTTGAAAGAAAAATATTCAGAATTTCTACTAAGAAAATAGAGAAAATGGTGTCAACCCGATGGCCGCACACAAGTGTACTGAGAGCCAATCAAAAACTTATAACACCAAAATATTGATTTTTTCTTTAGTTACACATTGGGTATTTTTCTTTTTAATTAAAAAATAGTGTAAATTTAATTAATGAATTTTATATTCCCCATATTTTTATTAAAATATTATATTATACAGGTATTTTTGCTAACAATTATATTTTTTAATAATTTTATTATTAAAATATTCATATGTAATAAATTTCTAATAAAATTTTAAATAATTACCTCATTTTATTTTATTACTATTATTATTTTTAAGTAAAAAAATTCCGATTATGATGATTATTAATTCATATATCAAGGGTATAAACTTTAATCCGACAAAAAAGTTAAGAGTATAAACTATCAATTTTTAGTTAATTTTCAGGTGATTATTTACTAATATAAGTTGTGTATTGATTAATACATAGACATTTATTTTTACAATCACGATGAAAATGCATCCTATAAGTGTTCTTAATTTATATTTCATATTTACATTTAATATTTTTTATATGTATTTTATTTAATATTATTATTTATTATTCGGAGTAATTTTTGACTATCAAACGAGGTAAAAATTCTATAATTTGCTCAGAATTTGATTTTAAACCCACCTATGATCAAATCGGAGCGAAAGCACTGACCAATTGGCCAAAAAATACTGTCAAAGCTCAGCAGCGCCGCCGCGGGGTGTTTTGATTTTTACCTCCGATGAGGCCTATTCTGATTCCCGTTCGATGTGATTTTTCCACTGTTGTGATCATCGTTTCCTCCTCAACAGATTGACCGGAGCAAAACACCAAACCGCAAAGTGAGCCGGAGGAGCCGTCGCAACGGAGAGCCCCACCACCGGTGAGTTTCGATTTTTTGCATTTTTTGGGCCCACCGAGGGCCCTAAGTGTATTTTCTCACAGGAAACGATGCAATTTTGGCTGAATTAGGCTAAAAACGGTCGAAAACAGCCAACCTGAGGCAGATCGCTGCTGGAGCACGGCGGAGCCGCCGTGCCGGAATTCTGAAATTGGCCGAGTAGGCCCTGGGTCTGATTTTTGGGTTATTTGAGACATGTGTAAGTACCGTAAGTGCGTTTCAGTTCATGAGGAAAAATTTAAGGAACCTAGGGACCGCCCGTAGCGTCGTAATAATCTAGTTTTCGGCGTCGAATCAAGTAAGGACCCCTCACCCTATTTCCTATCATGGAATTAAGTTCGAATAATAGTAATACTGTATTTTGTGCAATTATAGATATACATAATTAATTAAGTTGCTAATGGAGCTCGAAATCGGACATTATTCTTTGTCGATTCTTGCTTGATTTATTTTACAGTTTAAATGCATTATGATATCTGATCTATCTATTCTATGGTTTTAAATGCATGTGTTACTGTCTTACTTGACCACTGTGTGATTTTAGAATTTAAGATATGATTGTATTAGCGGATGCATGTTTATTATTTATATGATTATGTTCAACTTGGTAACGGAGACTAAGGGAAAACAGATAAGGTGACAGCCTCACTAGATATCCTAGGAGATGGTGGACGGACCGAGTTCATAGGGAATCCTACCGTGAACGTCGTCTCATACCGGATGGAGTATGGAGACTTAGTCATTTGGCGATCATACCAGACGGGGTATAGAGACGACCCTGTAATTAAGACTGTTAAGAAGAAGGGTTCATGTATAGCCAGAATACTCCTATGGATCTCCATGAATATTAGTGGGCTGGTGAAAACGAGAAACGGTGATAATCAGTTATTGTTAATGAACACAGATGTATGATATATTTTATGTTACTAATTATGCATGAAATTATGATATATATAATAAGTTTTCAAAACATCGACAGAAAGTAACAATGATTTCCACCCACGTTTCACGTACACATGCATATGAATGAATATATATATACACACACACACACACACACATATAGGGTTATACGTACAATGATGGCCACCTCCGACTCAAGAACTGCGATAACACTGGGTGAAAGTACTGAGCCGTTCGTGTACTGCCCAAGAGGACTCACAGCTTTCCAATATGTTTTTGTGGGCGTATGTGCATTAACACGAGCAACCTGATATGATTAGTTTTCAATCAATTATTAATTCGTTAATTAAATACTTCGTACGTACTTTTAATTTTTAATTTTTAATAAAAATGTTGATTTAAATTCCTTAATTCATCTTTTGGTCGTTTGATTATTAGATTAATATTTTTTCAAACAGATTTTAATAATTAAATTATCTAATGTATGAGACATTAATTAATTAAGTTTTTATGCTTAATTGTTGTTAATTTTACGTAAACATTTTC